AGCAGAGGCCCCGCCCTCTACCCAGGCCCCGCCCCGCCTCCGAGACTCCGCCCCTCCGCGGCCCCGCGTAGGTCGGCCCGGGCTGTAGGGGTCGCGGCCGGAGGCGCTGGCCTGAAACCCACCCAGGAACCTGCCACCGCGACGACGCAGGTCTCCCGGCATCTGGCACAAAGGAGTTTAGGCTTTGCGTTCAAGTTTGACTTTCTGTTACTGATTTGTTTCCTACCCCCAGTCACTGCAAGAATTTTCTGACGTTTGAAAGGTTTATGAATTGAAGTTTGTGAGAGCACCTGGTGCACTCCAGTACCGGAGTGCCTCGGCGGGGTGGTGGGCGTGCCTGTCTAGGCCTGTCAACAGCCCGTTTCTGGTTGGGCTGGCCTACTGTACGCGGGGAGTAACTTTCCTAACCCAGACGTGCTTTAAATTTCCCACACTCCATGACCAAAACAAGTGTGATGCAAACTTGTGAGTGCTGAAACAATAAAGTAGTATGGATTTTTTTTAGTTTTTATGAAAAAATTTATAAGTACAAAAAAAACCCCGTACCTAATTAATGTATACAACCTGATGAGTCTGGAGATCACAATCTATGCTATAAATCAATCTGTCCATCACCTCAAAAAGTTTCCTCCCACCTTAGTTATTATTTGTTATTATATTTTGTGATAAGAACACTTCATATAAGCTAGGCCTTCTCAGCGTATCCTAAGTAGACAACACGGCATTGTTAACTACAGGCACTGTGCTGTACTGTGGAGCTCTAGGACTCGCATAACTGAAACTTGGTACCCTTTGACTAATACTCCCTGTTCCCACTTCCCCTTGGCAACCACCATTCCAACTCTCTGCTTTTATGAACTTGACTATTTCAGATTCATCATATAAATGGTATCATGTAGTATTTGTTGTTCTGACGTTTCATTAATGCAGTAGTACGGGTTTTCTTAGTTTTATATACCCTAGTCACCAGTACAGAAAACATTGTAGCCCATTCACCCAGGTGTTCTGTTTTGGTTTGTTTTAAAGCCAAACTACCCCTGAAAGGTGTAGAAATCAGAGACGTGATATGGCATGCTTGTTCACTAAAAACCATATATAAATAAACTAGGGGCCCAATGCACAAATTCGTGCACCTTGACAGGAGCTGTGGGCCGAGAGACTGCGGTGGGCACAGGGGCAGGTCTTAGCCCATCCTCCACGCCCCTGTCTGGCCCCTCCCGCCACGGCCTCGGTCCCCTGTCTTCCAGCAGCCCCGCTCCTGCCACCACCGCTCATGCCGCCACCACTCCACTGCCACCACTCCCACGCACTGATGGTGCTGGCCCCGCTCGCACCTGCTGACAGCACAGAGCAATTGGGGCCAGCACCAGCAGCAGGTGTGAGCGGGGCTGGTGCCGTCAGTGGGTGTGAGCAGCGTCTGCTGCCCCAAACGCCCCTCAGGAGCAGGGGAGGTGGAGAAGCCTTCAGGGGCGATTGGGGCTGGCAGCTGCCGCTCACATCCGCTGACAGCGCCGAGCAATCGGGACTAGTGCTGGGTGCTGGCAGCAGGTGCGAGTGCCAGGTGGGACTGTGGTGCACAGGAGCAAAGAATTTTCAGTAACTACCAGAGGCTCACTCTAATGACAGCAACTGGTGCCCCACCTTGGTCTGGTGCCCCCGCTCACCTGCTCCACCATCCCACCACTACTGACGTCCACCATTTTCTGCGCGCAACCCCTGGTGGTCAGCGCACATCATAGCAACTAGTTGTTCAGTTGTTTTTTTGTTCTGCCGTTCGGTCTATTTGCATATTATCCTTTTATTATATACTAGGAGCCCAGCGTGCGATTCAAAATCATGCTGCGCCACCCACCCACCTGCAGCCCTGCTTTGACACCCAAACCTGTCCACACAGAGCTCCAGTGCGCCTGGTCCAGCCCCCAAACCCTCTGGCCTTCTCTGGCCGCTTCAAGAGCTGCCCTCAGTCCCTCCAGTTGCCTCGGGCTGGTCCCGCCTTCTCCTGGCGCCTTCCTGCTTCTGCCCTGTCTCTGGAGCAACGCAGTGGCTCCGTCCACCCATCATGGAACCGGAGGAGAGCGTGGAAGCCTCCCACCTGCTGCGCTGTGCTCCTTCTCCTGGCAGGTGGGCCATGGGACACTCAAGAGTGCGAGCGGTGGGTGGTGAAGGACTGGTGAGGGGGGTACTATGGGCTCTCACCTCTGCCCTCCCCAGCACGGGATGGTCCTGCCTCCTCCAGGTGCCTCCCAACTTCTGCCCCGTCTCTGGAGCAATGCCCCAGCTAATATGCTAATGACTTGGTCATTACCCGTTATGGTGTATCGACCATTAGCATATTAGCTCTTTATTAGTATAGACTAGAGGACCGATGCACAAAATGTGTGCAAGAGTAGGCCTTCCTTCCCCTGGCTGCTGGCACCAGCTTCCCTCTGGCACCCAGGACCCAGACTTCTCTCCAGCTGCCAGCAGGCACCCGGGACCTGGACTTCCCTTGCAGCCCTGGCTTTGTCTGGAAGGTCGTCCGGAAGGTCGGGATGTCCAGTCTAATTAGCATATTACACTTTTATTATTATAGAGGATGAGATCAAAAGGAAATGTCCAAGGCAGTTTTGACTTGGGAAGGGGAAGACATGTATCTTAGGGTCATCCCACCGCTGGCATTGGAGTGCTGGAGGAGGAGAGGGTTGTTTATGAGTAGATTGACCGTCTGGAGGTGCCAGGTCATTTCAGCACCAGCTGGTGGCTGCGGAGCCTCTCTGCCACCCACAGCTGCCTCCTAGAAGCACTTCAGCTTCTACTAACTACAGCCGAACCCAAGGCACTCCCCCTAATTTGTTCTGGCTCCATTTAAATCCGCCCAAGTTAAATCCGCCCACTTTCCCTCAGCTGGGCTTATCTCAGACTATCCCTCAAGATTGACTATGTTCTCTTTTGCAAATCTTCCCCCCTTCTCTGAAAAAGCTAGAATAATACATTCGAATAAGACAAGTAAAGTTCCCAATTCTAGTCTTATTATTTCAGGAGAGAGTCTCCATGGAAGGCCCACTTACCAGGAAGCCTGGAAAGCAAGGAAGAGTATGAAACAATCTGTTTCTTCCAGCTAGAAGGCCCAGGGAATAATTTATCTCCTCACAAAATGTTAAATGACTGCCAGATGTCTCCCCCACTGTCCTGTGACCAAAGCAGGCCCTATCCCTAAGGCCTATCCAGAGAGAGGATTATTCACAGTGTCTTTCTGGGGATAAAAGTGGGTGGGAGCCAGTAAGAGTAATTACCAAATTACGGTTTTAAATTATATATCTCACCCTAACTGGTTTGGCTCAGTGGATAGAGCGTCGGCCTTCGGACTGAAGGGTTCCAGGTTCGATTCCAGTCAAGGGCATGTGGATCTTTCTTCCCTCTTCCTCCCCATCCCACTCAGCTGCCCGCAATTACCTTCCCACCCTAGACTTTTACTTCCACTGTGCAGTTCAGTCTGCAATAGAGGAACTGGCAATACTGTTGGAGACAGGGACAGGGAATTGGGGCAAATCTCTCCATCACGTCCTCCTCCCCCAGTAGGGGGTGTGCAGGAGGCAGCTGATTGATGTTTCTCCCTCATAGGTGTTTCTAACTCTCTATCCCTCTCCCTTCCTCTCTGTAAAATATCAATAAAATATATTTTAAAAAATTATATTTCTTTAAGTATAATCATTTCTCGCCTGGCCGGTGTGGCTCAGTAGTTGAGTGTTGACCCATGAGCCAGGAGGTTACAGGTTCGATTCCTGATCAGGGCATTTATCTGGGTTGCGAGCTCAATCCCCCGTGGGGGGTGTACAGGAGGCAGCTGACCAATGATGTTTCTCTCTCATTGATGTTTCTGTCTTTCTATCCCTCTCCCTTCCTCTATCTCTAAAAATCAATAAAAATGTATTTTTTTTTTAAAAAAGAATTTCCCTAAAAATAGCTCTCAAGGAAAATGCTGTAATAGTCATATTTCTTCAATAGTCACTATTCTTGCTAAGTGAGAAGGCATCAGAATCTTGACGTGTAAAGTCCTTCATATAGAAATGTTCAGCAGAGCTGGTGGTGAGAGTATGAATATAGAAATAATGCGAATGGTCATCCAGCTAGAATCCCTTCCAATGATGGATAGTATGCAACCATATAAGATAATGTAAATGTTATTAGAGGCCCCTAAACTAAACAGTTGTGCCCAATATAGACCCATGATATTTTTTTTTTCTGAAAAGGAACTAATTCATGAAAGAAATAATGACTACCTAATTTCCATTCTGTGGTAGAACAAAGTGCTTAAATGAATTGTAATAGGCACGGTGCCCTGCCTCCATTAAGGGAAACTGTCTTAAAGCCATAAAACAGTGACTCCTAAGTTTTTGTTTATTTACTTGTCTAGTGTTTATCAGTTCTTAGATGACGTACATCCTTATATTGTGAACTCAGAAAAAGCATTTCTGAACACTCAATTCTGAGACTGCATTAGGAAGTCTGTAAAGATGTTGTAGAGTTGTGAGGATCTTAGAGATGCTAATTTAGCCCAGCTGTCTGCACTCCGTTGTTCAGAGACATTTAGTGACTCCCAACAGGAGAAGCACACTTACTGTGAAGTTGATGAAGCTGAAGTTCAAGGCCCCTCATTAGCCAGTCTTTTGCGATGTGAACTCGGGAATGTGATCACATGTACGTGTGTTTTGTGAAATTCACAAAAGTAAATGTTTTAACTGCAGTTGACTAAGATCACAGTC